TGGCAACATCAAAGAGAATCTTACCTGTTCACTTTCTTCTTCATCACTACTTAGCTTAAGGTCATCTTCTAGCATTCTGCAAAGAGGAACACACAGGTACAGAGACTTAGAGGATTCAAAATAATTCAGCAACAAAATATCACCTTTTCAGCAATAAGTCTATTTGATTTCCTATTTTTTTCTTTCACTTTTATGCACCTTTCCCCTGATGCGCTTAGGAAATAGCAGACCATAACATCATAAAAACGAACCCTCGCAGCAGTCATAGGCTAAGGCAGGCAGGTTCCAGAAGATGCTTAGTAGAGAAATTGTACTTAACAATAATTTATTGTATATTTCAAAACAGTGAGAGAGAAGAACTGTAATGCCTCCAACACAAAGATAAACAATTGAGGAGTCGGATACCCTAATTACCCTGATTTGATCATTAGATACTGTATACACATGCATCAGAATAATACACATACCTCAAAAGTATGTATGACTATGATTCAGCAACTAAAATATGCTGTTTTAAAAAACCAGAACCTTTTTCCTGGGTAGTTTTAATTCTGAAATTACTTGTTTGGTATTTTTCACGTTTAGATGCTATGTCTGCATCCCTGCCTGAGGGGTCTTCATGGTAAAGATAATTAGGAACCAGCAGCACTGCGCTGGAGACGTGAAATAGTAACTTGAGTGGTGAACTAGCTGGCTAGGCCTCCGTCCCTTAGGGAGCAGGAGAAGACATTGCCCCTGAGGTCCTACTGAGTGAAGACAGCCAGATAGGAAGAAGCTTGTAAAGGCAACTGCCAGCCCATGTGATCCCTCCAGTTTGTCCCCGCACCAGCAGGGGAAAAAGATACTTTTGGGTCCACAACAGTTAAAAGTAAAGAAACAAAACAAAAACAAACTCAGGTCCTATCATTTGTGGTGATGATAACATTGTACTGTTTTCAGCATTGCTGTATTGTTTCTTTAGAGAAGGGTAGTTTTCAGATCAATGCATTTCAAAAGCAATCTTAATCAGAAGCACATTTTAGGAAAGCACATTGTATAAATAGAACCACCCTGCCAGGGAGCAGGGGGAGCCCCCTTCTGAGGGACCCTGGGGCTCCAGGCTCTTGTGCACCCTTGTGCTCAAAGGCCTCCCTGTCCAAAGGCTATCCCCTAAAATGTGCCTACTGACCTGCATATCATCGATACTTGTCTCTGAAGATTTGAATAAGTCATTTCATTCACGTTCGGAGTGAACTAGGGGTAAAAAACTGGCAGGGCAGGGTGTGGACCCAGTTCTGCCCCAACTATCTGTTATGTCTTTGGGGCAAGGTAATTACCTTTCACCCCCATTTCTTTATGTGTAAAGTGAAGTTTTTTGCTGGGCAATCTCTAAGGTCCAATTCTGCTTTAAATTCCATTAGTCTATAGCATAATTTTGCTCCTCACATTTTATCAAGTAGAAAAATTTCTGTTGGTTCTACAGGAACACGACTGAGAAACTTCTAAGTTGTTTTTGGTGTCTCATTTAAGGCATTACCATTAGGACACCAAATCTGTTTCCTTACAGAGTTTTGCTATTCTGCCAGTATTGGGAGATACATCCTTCCATTATTTAAACCAGTGGTTCTCAACCTTCCTGATGCCATGATGTGTTTTCATTGTTTGTTACAAAGGGGTTGTGACCCACAGGTTGAGAACCACTGATTCAAACCACGACCACACAAAACATCAGCCCAGACTTTGGAGCTTCTCCTGCAATTATCCTGCCCATCAGGTATACCATTCACTTCCTCAACCTCAAAAAGGCATATGCTTGGCTTCAAAGAGAAGGGACCCCTTAGTGATTGTTTGGGCATAACCTAGGGAAGGGGCTGTGTTTTCTTTGTCCTTAGGTCCCTAGTGGCTTGCACAGAGATGGCACAGAGTATATATAGCACCAAACTGTTGGCACCAAACAATAGTCTCCCCCAAGACTATTTTCCTAGCAAAAGGCACAAATGCCATTCTGATGGAAAAACAAACAAACAAACAAACAAATAAACAACAGAGAAGGGGATAGTTTCTCACCTCCACCCCTCACTCTCTGTTTTGGGGTAAATTGCCATTGCAATTTGGTTTAATAGGTGCTCTAAGTGTGGGTGGTCCTATTGGTGCTCAGGAAAAGGGGGGAGAAAGGACACATATATTAATGGTTGTTAACCATCAGACTGTTAACCCCCTACTGTCAGATGAAAGTCATGGGACTTTCTTTATATGAACAATAGTGTGTGCAGACTTGAAGATCACTGCCAACTAGTGCCAGAAGGCCCAACATGTCCCAAAATAAGAGATCTTGGCAAACCAGCTGTGAGACCTGGTCACCACATGAAGCTGGCACTGCTGAAAGTCACCTCAACAGTGAAAACAGTGTGTGAGGTTGTCTTTTAAGGTAGGGACTGCAGCCTCTGTTTCTTTTAAGCGCGTACTAGGTGTGTCAACACAAACACACATCTGTTGGGATCACATATTGCCCCTCGAAGACACCTGATCCTGGACAAGTCACACCTCTCGGGCCAAGCATTGATCCTTTCCATAATGGGGCTTCACCTACTTCCTCACCATTTCTTGAAGAAAAGCTGTCAGGGATACATTTTGCCTTGTGAATAATACAGGGAGTCCCAAAAGTCGCCCCTGAAGATGCCATACACAAGGAAGTGGGAAATTGTACTTAAATGAAATTTTATTTACAAAATAGTCATTACATAATTTTACAAAAAGGTGGCCAACATGTAGAGAATATGTGGTAAATATTTTGTAGAACTATGTAAAGAATATTTTGTAAATAAAAGTACATGACTATAATTTCCCATTTTCCCTATTAATGGCAACTTTAGGGGTGACTTCCGGGAAACCCTTTAATCACTTTATCAGTGAATTTACCTCTCTTACACCAAGGGTGCAAAAAAATGTATACACCATTTAAGAAAGGAAAAAACTATATTAAAAGTGTAATATTCAGTATATACCAACAACAAAATAGGAATGAATACAAGTGGGGCACTTCTTGTAATCGCAGAAGTCAAATGTGACTTGAGTATTACAAATCTAATAGCTTTTTTTTCTTTCTTAAAATGTGTATATTTTTGGCACTCTTTGTATTTAAAAAAACGAATTTATTGTGTTTCAGGCTGAGTTGTAAAAGCAAAGGATCACATGTGAAAACACTTTGCATTCAAGAGAAGTTCAAATCCAATTAAACGTAGACTATGTTGAAGTATGAGAAAGTGGCAATGGAAACATGAAATTAAACAGTTTACACAAACATTCCCACAGCAATCTTGGGTGGTACTAGACCCAAAACATGGGATCACAGAGCTGGGATAGAGAACCACGGCCACATGCACCCCAACTCCCAACACACACACAGGCCCTTGCTGAGGAAACTGAGGCTCAGGGCCACCTGAGCACAGGAGCCCTCCTGTGTGTTCTGATGGTTGCAGGCTGATCCCCAAGACCCAACCCCTGAAGCATGGTGCTCATTTCCTTTCACTGCATCCTTCAAGTCTGACACAGCGTTCACAAGGAACTCCATTTTTAATGCTGACCATATCAGAGTGGCCTCAGGCTAAGGTTCACAGCTGAACGATGAAACGCAGTTAGAAAGAAAACCTGTGACGCCCATAAGATCACAGGGGGTGTCCACACTTGGTGCATGGCCAGCAGATGGCAGATGTAGCCTCCTTCACCTGAACACACAAATGGCCTCACCGTGGCTGCGCGCCCAACCCACTTCCAACCCTGGAGAACGTTTTAATCACTTGTCTATTTCTGGAAGGAAATAGATTGGCACAGGTATATTAAACAACAAATAAACAAGAGTGTTAAAGGAAGATACCAGTGAAGTGTTTGTTAGGCTATTGTGGGTGGCATCTCTGTTTTTGAAAAAGGCAGGCAAAGACTCTGGCACTGTAATGGAAGGGCAGAATCTGGGGTTGGGCACCTGCATGCAAGGACACCAAGTCTGGCTCCGGCAGGCACCTCCCACACGCTATATCCTAAGCACTTCCAGGCTGCCCTCTAGCTTGCCCTCTGGGCTGCTCCCAGACAGAGTCACCTGCTTCATGTCCCCTCATAGCCCTCCCAGATGATGGGGCCCCTGACTCATAGCAGCAGCTCTCATCCTTTAAGGGGGTGTTTGTGCAGACCAGCTAAGTGCTTTCTAGACATTACACCCATCCCCACAGGAACTCCTCCAAAGTGGGAGGTGGCCCTGTGGGTGGAGCAGTGGGCTGCAGTGTGGTCAGAGCACACACCCAGTGGGAGTCTTAGCTCTACTATTCAATGGTAGAGACCTGGCACCTGCAACTCATCCCATAATCCTTAGGAAATGCTTTGCCCAGGACCTGGCATGGAAAGAACAGTCAATCATGTTCATTTTTTACTAATATTCTTTTTTCCTAGGAGGGCGGCCTCAGAGCATTTAAGTAACTTGTCTGGGTAAATGAATTGAAATTTGAAATGTCCTTGTAATAATGCATCAAAACCAAGCCATTCATGCTACTTTCAGGCCATTTTGAAAAGGATGACATTCCATGGACTGCAGGGAGGGAATACATTTTAGGTTCTAAGTACATACACATAACCACTGTCAATTGGCCAGCTGTGGCTTTATGGTGACAGAATATGGAAAATATACCCATCAGCCCCAGTGCAGAGATGTCTGCCATGGGAGCCAGTCACTGGCCGTATAGCCAGAGGTCCTTGCTGCCTGGGGACAATAGGGTCATTGAAATAAAATAGACAATAGATTTGAGCTTTTCCAATTGGAGCCAGAGAGCAGAGGTGCCATCTGAAGCACAGATAAACCTGGACTATGCAGCCTGGATACTTGAAGAGCTGCCAAACTACTGTCAGGAACACTCCAAGTGTCACCTCACGGTGACTTCACAGTGAAGTATCAAACAGATACTAAAGAATGTTTAAAGGACACAAGCAAAAATTTTTTTAGTATTTCTTTTTACAAGCAAACTTTTTTAAATGCAATTAAGTGATTGAGACTTTATCCAGTTTTTACTCGAGAACTGTGTTAGACAACAGGTTGTTAAAATGACTGTCTTA